TACTCTTGGAAGGAAACATATGCATATAATTGAAAATTTTCTAAATTTTTTAAATAATCTCATAAAAGCGCACCAGATCTACGTAAAATTAAAATTATTTTCAAATAAACGTCAAACGTGAAAGATATTGAAATTTCCAGAGAATAAGGTAATGAAAGAAAAGAAATGAGAGAATTTATAAGTCTATCTACTATTTATGTTACATAGTATCTATGTAGTATAAATTATTTATTTTTACAAAACAATGCTTTACGATATTAGAGTTATAATCATATATACATCTTGCTAAACATAAATGAAAAAAATCATGTTAAAATTATAACATCCACTTTTTTATATTTTTATTGATTTTATTTTATTATTCTTTCACTCTTTATTTTTCTTGATGTTTTACATTTTTAAATTAATAAACCCGAATGTTTAATTTATGAATTTAAATTATAAATTTTATAATTTTTTTTATACATGTTTATATAATATTATAAACATAGATATTCTGTTCCATTTTATATAAAAATTTTCATTTTTTTATATAAAAATTCTCATCAGATAATGACAGATTTTTGTTGCGCACTAAGATTTGTCAATGACCTCTTCAATATCTTATTTTACGAATTTGGCAATTTATCTCAACAGGAGTCTCTTCGCAAAAAGATGAGTTCGTTCCCATGATCACATCATTAGAAAGAAACTAATTAACTACCTAGGAATAGTTAATTAACCCCGATTAACAATGTAGGCGAAAGTCGATTCATTAATTTTACTCATTTAAAATACTTGAGTGAAAATTTCACTTAATAGCATGGCATATATATTTAGATGCAATGTTAGGCTCTCTGCAATCAACCGTGTCTCATGTCCGTACTCGGCATTGTAATGCCACGCTAATATAACCGATAATCTGTCGCTCTTTTGCAGGTCTTTTAAAATGTCGTCACTACTACCGTCCAGTATTTCCAGTAATTCGATTAATACAGTAGTACCCGTTTTAATGCTCATTACAAGTAATATTGGAATAATATCTAGATAAGACAGCCGATTTTATTATCGTGCGCGTGTGTGTCTGCTTTATTATTTCTATATTATTTGTGATGCAGCAAAAACTGTGGTACAAACTGTGTGGTCTGACAACACATTGCTATCATCACGGTGCGACAAATAGACACGATATGAAATGAGAAAATGTTTTCATGCAACCAAGATGCGTTCGATTCAGTCGCCTCAATGAATCAGTGCGATTATTCAATGAGTACACGAATGAGTGCTTAATGAGTTCGAATAAAATATCGAATATATTCTACGGATTCTATTGGGAAATGCTCACAGTTTCTGAAACTTAACCATTTTTATAATTGGCGAGATAAGACATACGCTCTATGTATTGCTTTTTACACATCGTATTTCTTGGAAAGATTAAATAATTACTAGAAAATTGAGAAAATTATATTTTGATTTTTAAGATCCAGGAAGCCTATTCCTTAGTTCTATTATTGATCAATGTAGTAAATTTTTGTCTTAAAGTATTCTGATATATGATTTAAAAGTTTTAAAAAATAAAACTATAAAAACTTTAAAAAATAAAAAAATAACAAAATAAAAAATAAACGATTGGAAAAATCTCGGAAGATCCCAAAATTTTTGAAAATTTTTGAAGGTTAAAATTCATTTAAAATTGCTAAAAGTAGATTATGCTAAAAGTCTATGTCTTTAACATTTATTAACAAAAGATATTTTATTCGCATGAATACATATTTTAAAACAAATTTTTAATTACATGTTTTCAAACTATAACGATAAAAAGTATTTCATAACAAATAAGTTAATTTTAAGAATTTTTTTATACATAGTTTTATATATCTATCAAAATAAAATATTAACATACAAAACTGTCACATTATCTCTTGATTGACATTGATAAATTTGAAGATTGATCATTTTTATGATAATCAATAATTTCTGATTTTTACCATTAAATTATCATTACATTGAAAGGAAGAATTAAAGTTTTTTTTCGACTTAGTTTGTTTGCAAAAAAAACCTATACTTATTTATTCCTTTTAATTATTAATCTTTTAAAAACTCGAAGATTTTGGAATTTAAAAAAATTTGGTGTAATTTATAAATCTTTTTATATTGTACGGACAATATATTGTGATTGAAAGATTCTTTGATGTAAATCGAAAAACGTCATCTTATTATTAATTATATTATTATCATATTATTATTAAGAAACTGTTTGTTTTTCGTAGATATAGAATGTGACAATTGTAATTCTTTATAAGTTTCGATTATTGTGCATTTAGTACGTGAAAACATTGTTTTTCGTCCAATATCAACAAACGAAACGATGTTTTACAATCTGTGATCAATATGAGACTCTTGATGATATATCGGAAGGTCGTAATTAAACAATTTTGAATTCTTATTATGGAGTATGTATAGGATTGCAATCTTTGATAAACTTAAAATTATTTAATTACGAATTGTAAAGCTACTTCCAAATCAAAATCTTATAGTAAATAATTCTAAAAGAAGAGCTATAC